ACACACACACACACACACACACACACACACACACACACACACACACACACACACACACACACACACACACACTAACTGTAGTGTTACGCTGTTTGTTTGTACTGACTCACACACAGGACTCTTATATTGCTGCTTTGATTACACGGGCAGGTTAAGCTCAAATTTTCTGCACAGACCATGCTTGCTCGTCTGCTTGCAGCACTCAAGAAAATAAAAGAAGTAAATACTGTAATTTTCTAACCTGTCAAACTAGTCATATTTAGTTGTTTTAAGATTTTGTAACATGTTTATCTGCATGCTGGTTTCTTGGTCCGTTAAATCTAGACCCACGTAAAAAAGGCACTAGAACGGTCAGTGAGATCTGTGGCTGCCATCTTGCCAGGTGCTACGTCTACATGCCAAAGCTACACATTGGTAACACCTCACGCTTACCGTTTGCTGCGTCATCAGAAATAGAAAATGCACGAATTACCTTTTATTTTACCAAATAAACAAGAATATTATGAAAACAGGAGACAAGAGTACGCTGTAATGAGCGTCCAACCAACCTCGTCAAACTTTTGTACCGGCAAAATGCCGACCGGACGAGCTACTGTCCCCTACCCAGGCTAATTTCGAAAAATTCCAACAAAGTGGGCGGTGCCAAGAGACACTGAGGGGCACGGCCAGGTGTTGGGATGAGCGAGGAGGTGTGGTCAGGACGGGGCAATATGACAGCTAGCTTAATTTGAGCACATTGTTAGCAGCATCATAGCTAACATGGGCTAATGTTAAAGCAGTGACAAACTTTCAACGCAGTGCTCGCTGTTCCAAATTCTGTCTGGCTGCAGGGGCGTGTCTCTGCGTGAGAGGCTTTTAAACCCTGAACACAGGACCTGTGGCGAAAACATGCACCGTTTTTACCAGCAGGATGATTCAGCTGCAGTAGCACCGTTCAACCCATAGAGGGCAGCACTAAGACTGTTTTAGACCAAATTGTGCAGAATTAAACAAATTTGCTCAGAAACATAAAGATTACACCCTTTAAGACCCAATTTACAAATTTTACCTGCAAAAAATAAGTTGATTTGTGGTTTAGTTACTCTTTAAAATCTGTAATGGTCAGTGGCTCCTACTCATGGAGGAGGATATTAAATACAAGTTAGTAGGCTAGGCATACACAATAAACAACAGCCAAAAGCTAATGTCATGTTTTCATCATTTATGAGCTAAAATGGCATATTACTCATTTATGAAATGTAATTCTACGTTCTCTTAAGTTCAAGTTTTGATAATTATAACAGAAAACATCAAAACGTTGGGCTTCTTGGCTGAGTTTGGGTTTTATTCCTTAGATATTCATGGTCTGCTGCCATGCTGGCAGTAAGGATGCCACGTAGCTCCTACCAAGATGACAGCATGAATTCTCACCTTGTAGACATAGACTGCTCTGTTGTTGTCCACTCCAATGTGTTTCTGTTAATGTGTTGTTTAACGTCCCAAATGCATCACGTGCTTTTCCCCTCAGTTTTAAAACTCATCTGATCMGTGGAACTTTTTACATTTCGTCGTAAACAACTCGTGTCTTTGTTTGATGGGTRAAGGGTCCTTTGATTCTGTGACAAGAAAAGACTTCAGATTGTGGTACTGATGGTAGAACATACTGCAGAAGTCAGCACGCGCTGTAAAAGAACGTCTGTGTTCAGAAAGAGTAAGAAACAGAATGATTGTGTGGTCAGCAGCTGCTTCAGCTGTCCGCTAATTGATCAGCAGCTGCTGGTTCAATGGCCTGAATCGAGCCGGGAGCTTAACGGCCTTCTTCAGGGCTTTGTAGCTCTCGCAGCCCGCCTGCCTCGGTGATCGAAGTTCTCAACACAGGGTGGATCAAGTCCAGGGCTTCTACAGAAAGTCCTTTGTTTTACTCCATTCAGCTGATTGGCTCTGTGCTTCGTGCTTCCACTCCCTCAACATCTGACCAATTTATCAGCTCTTGTTTTATCTGTTGTGTTCTTCGCCGAGGCAGCTGTGTGCACATGAAAGCTCTGTGTTTTTGTGTTTTCTGGATCTAGCTGTAGATCCTGGTACAGCGTTGTTTTGTGAGTCAGCGTGCTCGTGCTCGGGACAGTTCAGGTCAGCTGCTTTTGTTGTTGCGACCGTTTGATTTCATGTTGCAGAGCAGCAGAGAAAAAGCTGTTTGTTTTCACCCCCAGCACTGGACAATACCAGGTCAAAGTTCGAACCTATGGAAACTGACATCCCTGTGTCTGAAAGCATTCTTTAAAGGAGCCTTTGTTTGGCAGATTGAAGCTTTTCTGTATTTCTATATGTCTATATATTTATTTTTCACAGTTTGATTGGAACTTGAAAATGGTCTGGTTTAACAACCAGCTGTCACACTATAACTTATTACAGTAAAACCTTGAAGTTTACTTATGTTTTGGTGTTTTATTGAATTCATCCACCATCAAAGCATCATAAGATTTGAACCTATCATGGTGGTCTGTAATAAAACCTCTGCATTCATAGCCCAGATAAATTGCAATAATTTCTAGACTTTTGTTGTTATTTTGTCATAGGGTACAGTTAGATGCACCATATTTGCTCTCAAAAGGATTCACTGCAGAATATGGGTGAAAACGTTGATCTAATTAAGAAAAATATGGAGATTGTTCTTAAGTTGTTTGAAGTTGTTTTTAATAAGGGGCAGATATAATATTTTTTCTTATTTCTGCACCCTTTTCATTCAATAATTGATTTCCTTTTTTGTTTTCGTAATGGTTCTTTGTTGATTTTTAAGAATGAATTAAAAATAATAATCGTTTCTCATCATTACCTCAAATTCCTGTTTTTATTGTTGGTGTTTTCACCACAGTGGAAACAACACGGTATGAGTTGATGTCATCCTGCTTTAATTTAAACGTGTTATTATGAAGTTTTGCTTAGCAACAGGTGCATCAACATAACTTTTCCTCATAAGTAGAAACTAGTTTAAATCAGTTTAACTCAAACTTGGAGAAATGAATGACTTCTGAAATTCTGAATGGAGCGTGTCGTTGTGTCTTCATTTTTGTTGTTTCACTTCTCTTTTCAAGGCATGCTCTCCATCACATGATGTTTATTGTTGTGCCGTACAGTCATTTATTAACAAGTGAAATGGTGAAGAAAAATCCCGTTTAAATTGTCCAAAAAGCAGTGACATTAGAATAGTAAAGTAGAATCTACACATCAGAAGGTAATTTACTGTCAGGGTGCTTTCACGTTTTCCCAAAGTTTTACTGTTGTTCCCCTCTTTGTCACTGTGGCTTATCTGAACCCAAACTACACCTGCTCTGAAACATGGCAGTGTCTCAGTAAACCCACACGAGACTCTGCTGGGGTTTTTTTCTGTCTCTTTATTTCTCTTTCTTCCTCCTCCTTCTCCCCCGATGCCTCCTCAGAGGAGTGAAGTCAAAGCTGTTGGCAGATGTGGGTATAGCTGTAAGGCAGGTATTCGCTGATGAAATAGTTTGTTTTAAGCAGCACCAAGGTCTCTTTTTTTATTGTTTTATTCAACTACTGGTCCCATCTCCTTATTAATTCAGTTAAAATTAGTCCTTTTGAGGAGAAGGGGAGAGAGGGGGGAAAAACTTATTTTCTAAGGATTGAAAACTTTATTTGAGAAAAAAAAATTTCAGCTCAAATGAAGGTTTAAAGCTAAATCGTAAAATAATTAGTATTGCAAATGTGACCAATTGTATCAAAATGAGGATTACAGTAAGTCAAACTTGGCCAAAATGACCTAATTATATTATCAAATTCTTGCTTTAAAAGCTACATTTTGATACRTGGATCATTCTGATATAACCTTATCCAGAGATAAAACTTAATTTGTCTTGTTGGTTACAATAATACATTACTGTTTGGTCTGAATCCTAATTTTATGTCAGTTTATTGAGTAATTTTTGATGTCATAAAGAGGAAACCTCAAATAGTATTTGTATATCAAGATTTCCCAGTTGGAAAGAAATGATAACATTTCTAGCTCACACAGAGAAAAATAAAAAAATTTAAAGCGTTTTTCCTCAAAATCAGTTTTTTTGTTGCTACTGCTCAAAAAATGCTAAAATTCTTTTTCAGGATTATTATTTCAGGCAATTTTTCCACACGTTTATTTCTCCACGTTCCACTATATCCTCGTTTCGATGTGATGGTTACAAATGGTCGAGTGTTTCTGAAATTGACAGTGTTTTGTAGTAGTTAAAATTTGGTAAATAGCCTTCTATGTTTTTTTGATTGTTGCTGCAGAAAATGTAAACGTTGCAACTGAAAGCTGCATTTTTCTATTTCAAAATCTGAGAGACAGACTCCCTGAACTGAGGAGACTGTTGAGTCGGGAGATACATATTGGAAAGTGAAAGGTGTTTAGCACAACAGAGACCCTTGCTGTGGTTAAAGATAAATAAATAAATCCAAAAACTGGAAGCCTCAGCTAAAATGATCCCTCCAGAGCTTATTTTGGAGTCTTCACTGTCCGTGGTGCTGAGATATTTGATTGTAGCTAAGGACGGGAGATAAATGTGCCCTGCCAGATCCCACCAMTGCAGCTTGTGGTTTTTAAAAGAAGCACTGGAGTAAAACCGTATATTGTCGGATAATAAACCTCCTTGGCAGACAGCAGCGGAGGAGACAGTGCATCGACCTAATAACGCTGCTTCCACCAGAGGAGGCGATGGCAGTGATTACTCAGCTGCCTCGGGGTGGGGGTGTGGGGTTATTACCAATTATAGATGAATAATATCTGAACCTGCTACTGGGGAAAACAATGTTTTTTCTCTCACTGATGGACTAATAAAGGCTAAACTCGTTTACGCGTAGCACGCTGCCGTGGCCAGGGATGCTTGGCTGGAGCTTTATGTGGGTAAGGG